GTTGTACTTCTGCGTGTACAAAGCCGTGTGAACAGAGCACCGCAGTAGTTAAAGCTATCTTGGTGTTAGTGATTCAGACTTCTGCCGGTGTTACGGTCAATTCAGTTCTCCCTGTTCCCCCCTCATTGCGCATGTCGAAATGACGTCTTCAGTCGCCGCTCCTCTGAGGGGCTTAGATAGGCTTAATTCGTTTGTGTTTGTGCCTTTATTCCGTCCGGTTCCTCGCGGTAAGCGAATTATCATGTTGTTTGTAAAATGGCTTGTAGTTAAACTTTAATGTTTTAAAGTGTAAAATGTGTTGTTACAGATGTTTTAATGCTCAAACACTAGCTACGTGGGTTATCTTGCTAATGCTAGTTTTGGCTCCGTTTCCAGCTACTCTGAGTAACATAAACTGGATTTAATGCGCCATTTCTGATTTTAATAACCGCACATGCTGACACATTCTGTAGTTCAGACTTTTAGTGATTTTTAAAGTGATTTTAAGGTGTATTTATGTCCCATATCCTCATCAGTCTCGCCAAGTTCTGTAAATAGATTTGAAACATTTGTTGCTGAAATAAATAAACTGCATTACACAGCACAATTAGTCTGTGTTATTATTGTTAGACTACGTATCTCAGTGCACCTAGGAGGTTAGTTTCTCTATTGTCTTTGAGGCTGAAGTCTTACTGTTATGGTACTGATGTGACTTGTCTTTACAGTAACTTTTATTCATATTATACCACATTTACACTGAGAATACAGGGGGAGTGGATTTAAACTGCAATAATGCTGCTGAAAATCTATATAAGTACAAGATCATTTTACTCTGTAAGTTTTAGTCAATCTGTACCATCTTTACACTGAGAATACAGGGGGAACATCTTCAACCAGAGCCCTGAGAAAAGTGGTTTCCCCTTGTATATTACAGCTGGAGTGGATTTAAAGTGCAATAATGCTGCTGAAAATCTATATCAGTACAAAATCATTTTACTCTGTAAGTTTTAGTCATATTATACCATCTTTACACTGAGAATACAGGGGGAACATCTTTAACCGGACCACCTTTACACTGAGAATACAGGGGGAACATCTTTAAGCAGAGAATGAGGATAAATTTAATATACATTGATGTCAGTAACATGTCTCTGACTGCAATGTGTTTTGTAGGCCTCTTTTATTCCACAAGTTCAGACATGCTTCATGCATTGACTGTAAAATACCAGTGAGCTTTTTCTTTATTTTGTGGCACTGGATCTTTTTCAACGACTGTAACAATCACACCACATGCCTAGATGTTAACATAACCTCCTCATTCCAAATATCCAGTGTACTGGACTTTGTTTTCCAGGTATTGTGGCTCTAAAGAAGCAATACTCACTTGTATGTTTCTACAGAACTTACACTTTCTGTTGGTTGATCATTTAATATCATTTAATTTTTTTTTTCTTTTTTTTTATCTTGTTATATTCAAAAACAAATACGGCATCTGGATACAGACACTCACCACCTCCAAAGCCAAATGATTATTTTCTGAATGATTCCATACTTATTTTAGAAATGTTTTCGTATGTTACTCCTTCTAGAAGGTCCCTCTTGTGAACAGCAAAAAAGGAAATAGTAGATACTTCTACATACACATATTTTGAGGTACAGTTCGGACATAATCTGAACATTTGGAATTAGTGCAGTAAATGATGCTTAGAGTAGTATCATAGACTTGGCAGGGTCAAACCAAAACTAAACATTTCATGAATCTCAGAAAAGTTATTTCTGAACCACAAAAAAACTATGTCTGTATATGACACTGGGCTAGCATATAGAATGCATGTAAAAAGTGTAATATGTTTAAATTTACACATAAATCTATGTAATATAGCTTATGTAATGTTTTCTGACTTAAGCGACTGTTTCAACCATTTGTTCGTTTTAAGGGTAATAATGTAAATCTCTGTTTATTAATATGATACAAAAATGATGAATTATTGAATATTTTAGTAGTCATTCACAAGTACAGAAGTCCTAGTTGTTCTGTACATACAGTAAACTCAGAAGAAGTTCAGTGTTTGATTTGTGCCTTGTTATGTTGCTAATAAGAAATATGTTCACTTTCCAAAAACTAATGTTTGATTAAAAATAGTTTATATTCAAAGGGTTCAGTCTCGGGACTGATTTTAATTTTAAAAAAACTGCATGGCCTTACGAATTGAAAAAGAATAGCAGTCACATTCTCTAGAGCGCTTTTCCTGCAGAGAGAGTGCTTTATCACCACCTACAGGTTAGTTTATTATTATATATATATATATTTTTTTTTTTACTAAATGTAAAAAAGACACTGAAAGAGCTTGTGTCAAGGCGTCTTTCTGAAAGGTGTAGCCAGTGTAGTCTAGCTAGATCACGGGTCATTGAGTCAGCACATGCGAAGGAAAAAGATCCCTCTCCAAATGTGAAGAATCATTCTGAGGTACGTTTTGCTGTTATTTATATTCATCTAATGACTCAAAATATTATAATACTATGATTTAATTAGGATACATTTTACTGCAATTACCTTATAGAAACTTTATATGTTATTTTACTGATTATTGTGCTGCTTTCAAGTCATATTAGCAATGTTGTATTCACGAGATAAGTGCAGAGGACTGCTACCACAATTTCATTACTAGTGTGAAAAAAGTTGGACGTGTTAGCAAAACAGAAAGGATAGCCGCTGGAAATTGCTTTGTAAACTGTAAGGCTAAAATAATCTATACGTGGTAATGTTAGTATTTTCATGTTACGTGATGCTTGCTAACTAGGCAACACATTACTCATCTCAAGCATCCTCTGCTCTTTGTTGCAGTAACGCAAAATAACGAAACCAGAAAAATAGGTCATTCGACGGCGTGCGCATCAATATGTTGTCCAAGGTAAGACATGACCGTATGTATACATATAGTGGCATGCAAAAGTTATGTTACTGTGAAGTTATCTGAGAGCACAAATGTCTTGGGGTGCCCAAACTTCTGCATGGTTTCCTTTCTTTAAAATTGTAAATATTTTTTTTTTCTAAATTGTACAAAACAAAAATACAACACTAATCTTGTTTAAATGTTGAAAAGAATGTTTCTGTAACTTTATGCCTTTTGGACATCTGTTTATCTTCTACTTACTTAACTACTCACAGTAACAGAAATTTTGACCAGGGGTGCCCAAACCTTTGCATACCTGTATATTTGAAAATATGGCACATGAATAGTATAAAAGACCTGAGTCATTCCATGAAAAGACTATGAGTACACTGCAGATATTAATTCATAGTTCATCATTAACACGTATGAAAAACGTTTAATGTAAGTGAAACAGGGATTTGTATATTCATTTTTAAGAAAACAAATTGGTATTTTATATGTCCATATACACACTAAATGAAGTTCAATATAAAATATTACTAAATGAAACTTGTTTTGTCTGCCATACCAATTTGTTCAGCCACAACAATAAGAAATAATATAAAAATTTCACATCACAATAAGCTCACCTTTTATTATGATTTACAATATGTTACAATATGTTACAGTATGTTGTATTATAACAAATACATGTACATGTGGAGTTCTGAAGTACTATTACGCAGTACTATGCAACTGACTTAGGCAACTGAGGAAACATTTTTGTTAAGAACAATATGTAATTGAAACTGTGCAGGACAAGAAAAATTATGTTTTCTTTACTTAAAAAGTTCTGATCTCATGGAATGACTCAATAATGGTAGAGTTGCAGGTGGCTGTCCAGTTTTCACTGACACATACTATTAATGTACAATATACATTGTTAGACCTGGGCTTTGCATATACAAGAAATATAAATGACATATTATGACTAATATCACCTTTATTAGACAAATAGAAAAATCCAATTCAAGTCATCTATTTTTATTTTAGAAACATTATTATAACCAAAACTGTTACATATAGACATAGTGTTTTTGGAATTAAACTGTTCAAATATAAATGGCTAATCCCTGCTAAAAGCCACATACCTGTAAATCTCTTGCCTTGCCCTTGTCTTCATCTGTTTTATCTTCTTGTTTACCTTCTCTCATGTCTTTGGCCATGTGCTTGTGTTTTTATTTTGGTTTTCCTGCTCCACCCTTTTGCCATGCCCCTTACCTGTTTCTGATCTGTTACCCCACTCTGTAATTGTTCCTTGTTTGTTTCCCCCAGTATGTATAACCCTTGTGTTTGTCCTGCTCCTGCTTGGTGCTGTTTTTCATAATTTATTTAGTATTAGTGTTAATTTTCTTGATTAGCTTCTCCTTTGATACTGTCCTTTTTTTTTCTTGCCACCTTCCCTATGGACAACAATAAAACTCCCAGCTCGCACTTGCATTCTGCTGCCTTCCGCCCTGTTGCAATACCACTATCAGCAAAAGTATTTAATGCTTTTCTTTATTTTGATGTAGATGGAGTACTGTTTTATGTTCGTCATAAGGGCACAGAAAAGGAACTGAAAGTAAAGGTGGTCAGGGATGCTGAGGAAGCTGACAGTATTTTTAAAGAATTTCATGCCAGTGATGTAGGTGGGCACTGTGGCAAGGAGAAAACAAAAGATGCCATTTCTATCCGATACTATTGGCCAGGGATGACGATTGACATCAATAAATGGGCGAGTTTTACTGATATGCTTACATTAAATTGTTATAACAGCACCAGTTGTTGAAAAATGTTCTTAGCATTCCTATAACAAACATTCATGGAATAATTATTTGAAAAATTTATTCTTATCTGCAGATTAAAGAGTGTTCCACATGCCAGATGAGTAGGCCTATCAAACACCAGGATGAATACACTCCCATTATTGTATGTCTTTCTATTATTATTATTATTATTATTATTATTATGAGATAGGACTGCAGCTCACAGAATCAACCATTTGAATTGTTTTTTAGGTAAATGACCCGTGGGAGTTAGTTGGCATGGACTTGATCGGCAAGTTGACAGTGTCCTTAAATGAGAACCAGAATATATGTGTACTGATTGATTATTTCACAAAATGGGTGGAAGCTTATCCACTGGCCTCAAAAACAGCAGATGTCGTCACAGCTTGCATTGTGCAAATGATTTATCGGTTTGGGGCACCAAAAAGGATACTAACAGACCAAGGGAGGGAATTTGTTAACCAGGTTTGCATTTATTATTTATGTTTAACAGACTGTGATATTAAAGCATACAGTAATTAACATTGTTGTGTTTAAAACCTCATATTGCCAACTGTGTAATAGTGACATTTACACTCCCATGCCAAAAATGGGCCAAGTCCAAAATGGTAAAACATTAAGCTTTTAATAGTCTTAACAATAAATCTTTTTTAAAAAAAAAGGTAAAGTAACTGAATATGAATAAGATTTTCTCTTTGATTTCTGTAAATGGTGAAGTTTTGTGAGCAGTCTTTTACAGAAAGAAGTGTCAGTATTTTTCCACTCAGCATTGTTTTTCAAACATTTTGAGACCAAGTATTCTCTATAGGGTTTAAATCTGGACTCTGACCAGCCCAAAACCACCAATAAAAGCCATTATATTTTAGGCTTGGCCCCTTTTTGTACAGGAGTGTGTATAATAAATAACAATTAATACTTGTGTACTAATACCCAAATAATGAGTCTGTTACCTTGCTCAATAAAAAAAAAAGAATTACCAAAATTCAACGCTAATACACACTTAGGTTAATTTTAAGGGAACATATATTTTGTCATGTTTACTTGCAGTATTATTATTATTATTATTATTATTATTATTATTATTATTAGACTATCGATTAAGATCAAACTGTAATAATTTAAATATCACAATTATTTTCTCCAGATCAACAAAGAAGTTTGTGAATTGTTCGGCATAAAACGCAGCCTGTGTTCGCCATACCATCCACAAACCAACGGATTAGTGGAAAAGATGAATGGCACCATACAGAGGTATGTTTATTAATCTACGATCAACACTACCTATTCATTTAGGTGGTGGATCATTCTTAGCACCGCTTTGACACTGACATGATGGCATGGTTGTGTGTGTCTGTCTGTGTGTGTATGTATGTATGGATGTATGTATGTATGCTATGTGGATCAGACACAGCAGTGCTGCTGGAGGTTTTGAACACCTCAGTGTCACTGATGGTCTGAACAGTCAACCAACTAAAACTATCCAGCCATCCAGTGTCCTGTGGTCAGAAACTGATCATTGATGAAGGACTAGAGCAGGGGTGTCCAATCTTATCTGCAGAGGGCTGGTGTGGCTGCAGGTTTTCACTCCAATAAAGCAGGAGTTCACCTGATGAAATGTTTGAAGACTAATAATGACTGATTAAACAAATGGATTTAGGTGTGCTCCAGCATGTTTGGAGTGAAAACCTGCAGTGAATCCACACTGGCCCTTTGCAGATAAGACTGGACACCCCTGGACTAGAGGATGGTTTTAGCAACAGATGAGATACTATTTCCAAATATCAGGTGGGCCAATAAAGTAGATGTGTCTAATAGAGTGGACAGTGTTTAAAAACTCCAGCAGCACTGCTGTGTCTGAGCCACACTGCTAGCCCAACACTCACTAACATGCCACCGCCACCTCAGTGTTACTGCAGTGCTGAGAATGATCCACCACCCAAATAGTACCTGCTCTGTGAGGGTCTTGTGGGGGGCAGTTTGTATCACTGTAATAATACAGCCTTTTGTTTGTTACACATGTTGCAGAAACAGAGGAAATACAAAAACTGTAACAACGTATCATTGTGTAGTATATAATCCCCTTTTAGGAACCTAGGAAAACTGTGCAAGGACAAACCACAAACATGGGAGAAATACCTTGATGCTGTGCTTTTTAACATCAAACAAAAAAACAACTGACAACACAGTATTCACCATTTTATCTCATGTTTGGACGGGAGGCACGCTACTTCTCAGAAGTACCTGAATCTTTCAGTGTGAGTTTATCCACTGTGATGAATCTGTTCTTTATTATTCTGTGTGTTCTGTTATTGTTCTGTGTGAACTAATGTTGCTATCTTATTTAAATTATTTTTCTAAAGCTACAGTAAATTTTATTGGATTCACATCATTTTGTGTCTTCTCTGAAATTGTATATGAAATTGAAACTTTTTTTCCCAAGGTCAATGAAACGGTGGAAAATGTGCTACAGACAGAAATTCTCAAGCCAGCCATACACATGCAGGACAAGGTATTTGAGGCAGTGAAGAGAAATATGCAAGCTGCAAGGCACAAAGTGAGAGCAAGAAAAGAAGCAGCCAGGGCTATATCACACACCTTTGCTGTTGGGGAAAAGGTTCTCAGGAGGAACATCAGAAGTCAGCAGAGAAAAGGAGGAAAGCTAGACAGAGATTTTCTGGGTCCCTTTACTATTACTTCCCTACAAGGCAAAAATGCAGATTTAATTGATGATAACGGTGTGAAATTTCCAAAAATTAGTTTGGATCACTTGATGCCATTTGTGGAGGAGGAAACATGCATTCCTCACAACCTCAAAAAGTTTGCATCCTATGATTCAGCAGTTGAGTGTTCATCATCTGTCCCAACAGTTGAGATTCTGACACCTCCTGTCCCAGCTGTGAAGAGCACACCACCACCTGTCCCAGCTGTGAAGAGCACACCACCTCCTGTCCCAGCTGTGAAGAGCACACCACCACCTGTCCCAGCTGTGAAGAGCACACCACCACCTGTCCCAGCTGTGAAGAGCAGACCACCTCCTGTCCCAGCTGTGAAGAGCACACCACCTCCTGTCCCAGCTGTGAAGAGCACACCACCACCTGTCCCAGCTGTGAAGAGCACACCACCACCTGTCCCAGCTGGGAAGAGCACACCACCACCTGTCCCAGCAACTGAGATTCTGACACCTCCTGTCCCAGCTGTGAAGAGCACACCACCACCTGTCCCAGCTGTGAAGAGCAGACCACCTCCTGTCCCAGCTGTGAAGAGCACACCACCTCCTGTCCCAGCTGTGAAGAGCAGACCACCTCCTGTCCCAGCTGTGAAGAGCACACCACCACCTGTCCCAGCTGTGAAGAGCACACCACCTCCTGTCCCAGCTGTGAAGAGCACACCACCACCTGTCCCAGCTGTGAAGAGCACACCACCACCTGTCCCAGCTGTGAAGAGCACACCACCACCTGTCCCAGGTGGGAAGAGCACACCACCACCTGTCCCAGCTGTGAAGAGCAGACCACCTCCTGTCCCAGCTGTGAAGAGCAGACCACCACCTGTCCCAGCTGTGAAGAGCACACCACCACCTGTCCCAGCTGTGAAGAGCACACCACCACCTGTCCCAGCTGTGAAGAGCACACCACCACCTGTCCCAGGTGGGAAGAGCACACCACCACCTGTCCCAGGTGGGAAGAGCACACCACCACCTGTCCCAGCAACTGAGATTCTGACACCTCCTGTCCCAGCTGTGAAGAGCACACCACCACCTGTCCCAGCTGTGAAGAGCAGACCACCTCCTGTCCCAGCTGTGAAGAGCAGACCACCTCCTGTCCCAGCTGTGAAGAGCACACCACCACCTGTCCCAGCTGTGAAGAGCAAACCACCTCCTGTCCCAGCTGTGAAGAGCACACCACCACCTGTCCCAGCTGGGAAGAGCACACCACCACCTGTCCCAGCTGTGAAGAGCACACCACCACCTGTCCCAGCTGTGAAGAGCACACCACCACCTGTCCCAGCAACTGAGATTCTGACACCTCCTGTTTCAGCAGTGAGGAGCACAGCACCTCCTGTCCCTGTAGTTAAAAGACCAGTACCTCCTTTTCCTACAGTCGAGAGTCCAGCATCTGTTTTCTCAAGATCACAGTGATGTGTGACGAGTAAGTTGCTTCTTAACTATTGTTATTATGTTACAGGTATTAGTTTATTTACCTCAAAATTTATATGCAATGCATACATATTTTTAAATAATTCTTTTGCTGTTAATTATGAGTACTCTATCCACTTTTTTCTACTCTGAACAGACAATTTCCTGTATTTAACATTTATTTTTTTACACTTGTGTTCACAATTTTGGCAGGTATTGAAGCAGTTTGGTCTGGCAGAAGTGGTTGTGTCTTGATGGCCAAAATTGGGCCATATAAAACATTTGACATGGACATTGCACGTCTTGCACCTGGCAAAGAACTGGAGAGCGAGGTACTGAATTTTGCATTTTCAGTGTAAAGAGGGGCTTTCTTCAATATGGCAATAAATTGCAGAAGTGTACATTAACAAGCTTCATTTAGTCAGGTACATGTACCCAAGTACAATTTTGATGGATTTATAGTTTCTTGAGTAGTTTAAATTAATAATACTTTGATTTCCTCACACAAGATTGTGAGAAAAGAATTTACCTTATAGCGTATATTCGGCTATATTCAAGACATGACTGTCACTACTATACATAGTCAGTTTATGTCTCTGAAGGTTATAAATGCATACATCTTCACACTGGTGAGGAAACGTAATCAGGAGAATGAGGACAAGGCCTACATGATTGACAGCTTTGCGATGACCAAATTATGGCAAGGTTCATATCAAATCCTAAGAAAGGTACATCAACCTAATTCCAAACTGTAAGCATGTAATGCAGTTTTAACATCTGTTTAGATCTAATTTTACATAATCTGCTTAGTAGCTATATTGTATATTATAGTACTTTATAAATTGTATGTTTTATTAAATATTTTTTTTATTATTAATTTTAGTGTGATGCAAGCCAATATAAAGTTCTATTGGGTGTCATAAATGAGCATCATCACTGGACTATTGCTGTGAGTGTCCACGAATACACTTCAGAATCGTGTTGATATTAACTGGAAATCAGATTTAGTGAACCTGCATAACTCAGGGTGTCCTAACCTATCAACAACAGGCCAGTGTGGCTGCAATTCTTTTGTTCTAACCAAGCAGGAGCTCACATTCAGTTGTTTGAAGGCTGAGACTAAATGATTTGCTTGCTTGAAATGAAAACCTGAAGCCACACCAGCCTTTTGTGAATAGGATTGGACACCCATGCTATAATGCATATAGAATTGCAAGAACAAGTTTGAGGGTTGATTGTTATTTTTTGTAAATTTAGGTAATTTATCCATCCCAAAAAAGAACAGGGAGAGTCACAAACCAAGGTGAACAAGTGCTTGCAAACCACAAGGTAAGAAGTTATTTTAAAAAATCTAGGGTCTTCTAAAAAGTTAATATGCATATGAACATTTACTGAAGTTGTTTTGCAGAGCCTTTATGAGGAATAAAGGCTGCAAAGTTTCAAGATGGACATGTGATGTTATTCCCCACCCAGTACAAAGAGATGTCACATCATGTGGTGTCTTTGTTTGCAAGGTATGCTTTCATTAGGTACTGCAATAAATGTATTATGTAGTCATATAAATTAGTAAAGCCCCTTGCCTTCTTTTTTTCTCAGTTTGCTGAAAAAATCTTGCAAGACCAGCCTATCACCTTCTTAAACACAGACAGGGCAGTTAATCTCATAAGGAAAGAAATGGCAATGACTCTTTTGCAGGAATCAGGTAAATAATACTTAAAGTTCAACGAGTCACAAAATGCAAATGTTTGCATTAATATACAGTTTTTCTGGACATGATTGTTTAAGTACTGAAAAGAAGTACAAGTGTTTTGTGCTGTATGGACTACTGCTACTGATGGTTAGATGTAAATGGTTGTAGATGTGAGTGGTTCACCCATATCTCTAAAGGTTCCTCAAAGGGAACAATTACAATAACTGTTCTTGACATTGCTTTACATATTTGTCTTTACATATAAATAAATGAGAGTATATTTATATGTGTAACAGATTTACAGATGTAAATATAATTTGTTCACTTTTGTAGAAGATTTATCTGAACTCTGTCACTTCTGTGGTGAAGAGATCAACCCAAGTGATCCAGTGTTCCCACGTGAATGGGTAACGCAGAATTATCAATTTAAAAGCATGTCCAATTTTATCCAGATAGGGCTGGCTGCATGTTTTCATTCCAAATAAGCAGGAGCACACCTGATTCTATTTGTTGTATCAGTTTGTTTCAGTCCTGATCAGGTGTGCTCCTGCTTAATAGAAATCAGCCCATCATGGATAAAATCAGACACCCTGCTTTAGTTTTTAAACCAACGATTATTACCTAGCTTTAATTTGGCTCTTTGATTGTCACATGGCATTACATTAATGTGATAATTTGAAATTGTAATTGTTTGATTATTCAGATTGCCTGCGATGGATGTAACAGATGGTTCCACCAGTCATGTGTTGGGAACCCACAAGCAGAAGAAGACTTTCATTGCTCAGCATGTGCAGCAAAGTGGACATAAGGTTAACTGAGACGGTGTTTTATTTTTGAAAATAGTACTTTGCATTGTGTTTTAATTTAACTACACTTTATTTGTCTATACCCTTTTTTAATTTAACTACTATTTAAGTTGACTGTCTATAGTATTTAAGGTGTGTAAATTTGGCTTTACATAATTTGGTTTGGCTTATTACCTGTATTTGCATGATTGCACTATATGCATAATTTACTACTGAATTGCAAATTAAAATCTCCTGTTCTGATATTCTAAACTTTTTTTTTATCTGTAGCTTGCCTGGTATGACAGTGATGCACTGTTGACATTGATAACACCCCAGTTAATATATAAGGGTAAAAAATAACTTTATTACAAGCCGCAAATGCATTCCCACTTGTTTACTTACATTAAACGTGGTAATACATAACATTAATTTAATACAGTTAAAGTGTCCAACATTGCAGTGTAGTACACCTGCTTGTAGTAGTAATTCAATTTGAGGAAAATCAAACAAGTAATCACAGGTAAAGATTGTCAAATGTGACTGGAAATTACTTTTTAGAAGCACTGGATAAATCCGTTATTCCATTTACCGCTCATTTAAAAAAGAATGTTAAAAGAAAGAAGCCACTCACTGAATAAAATAAACTTGCTCAAATAATGATGGTACAGATTTACAAACTTACTGAGTAAAATGATTTTGTACTGATATAGATTTTCAGCAGCACTATTGCAGTTTAAATCCACTCCAGCTGTAATATAATGTAATTTCTCAGGGCTCTGGTTAGAGATGTTCCCCCTGTATTCTCAGTGTAAAGGTGGTCCGGTTAAAGATGTTCCCCCTGTATTCTCAGTGTAAAGGTGGTCCGGTTAAAGATGTTCCCCCTGTATTCTCAGTGTAAAGATGGTATAATATGACTAAAACTTACAGAGTAAAATGATTTTGTACTGATATAGATTTTCAGCAGCATTATTGCACTTTAAATCCACTCCAGCTGTAATATACAAGGGGAAACCACTTTTTTCAGGGCTCTGGTTAAAGATGTTCCCCCTGTATTCTCAGTGTAAAGATGGTACAGATTGACTAAAACTTACAGAGTAAAATGATCTTGTACTTATATAGATTTTCAGCAGCATTATTGCAGTTTAAATCCACTCCCCCTGTATTCTCAGTGTAAATGTGGTATAATATGAATAAAAGTTACTGTAAAGACAAGTCACATCAGTACCATAACAGTAAGACTTCAGCCTCAAAGACAATAGAGAAACTAACCTCCTAGGTGCACTGAGATACGTAGTCTAACAATAATAACACAGACTAATTGTGCTGTGTAATGCAGTTTATTTATTTCAGCAACAAATGTTTCAAATCTATTTACAGAACTTGGCGAGACTGATGAGGATATGGGACATAAATACACCTTAAAATCACTTTAAAAATCACTAAAAGTCTGAACTACAGAATGTGTCAGCATGTGCGGTTATTAAAATCAGAAATGGCGCATTAAATCCAGTTTATGTTACTCAGAGTAGCTGGAAACGGAGCCAAAACTAGCATTAGCAAGATAACCCACGTAGCTAGTGTTTGAGCATTAAAACATCTGTAACAACACATTTTACACTTTAAAACATGTTTAACTACAAGCCATTTTACAAACAACATGATAATTCGCTTACCGCGAGGAACCGGACGGAATAAAGGCACAAACACAAACGAATTAAGCCTATCTAAGCCCCTCAGAGGAGCGGCGACTGAAGACGTCATTTCGACATGCGCAATGAGGGGGGAACAGGGAGAACTGAATTGACCGTAACACCGGTTTTCGTGCAGTGGGCGGGGCAAGCGGCGACGTCACTGCTGTCTAACTAGAGCGTCTCATTTATAGATGACGGTTGGACGCTGCCTACTTAGACAGCCGCGTATGTAGACAGCGGCTACTTAGAGAGCTCACTAGGTTTTGAGACACACCGTCTGTGTAGCTACATGTGTGGGGTATGTAGGGTGAGCGGGTAACACATATTTCTGCCGTGGTAAGGGATGTGTGTTCAAGTAACCTACCCTTCAGAATGGATCCGCCCGGGGAGAAATTCGAGCAGCTTCTCTTCTGTTGAGGTGGGGTCGGAGTGCAGAGAGATCTTGTCGGGGAAAAAGAGCCGCACGGAGCCTCGTTTGTTTTCCTCTTCTGTTTGTTTGTCTGCGTTGTTCGTATCTGTAAATGTTCTCGTTGGAGCACTTTGGTGAAGACGCATCGGTGGATCTGCCCTTTTCTCCTCCCCTTGTCCACTACGACCACACTTGCACTCACTCCACCGCATACAGAGGTGGTGACCCACAGGCACGTCCAGTCCTTTAAGTGTAACAGTGTTGTAGTATGTATGATGCGATGCCTGTGACCCCCTCAGTACTGTGTAGTGTAGCTTTAATCGGACTGAGCAGAGACTACAAATGTAAGAACAGGTTCCACATGACTGGAAACTGAGCTGTTAGGTTCTGTTTGTGTGAAAGCAGCTGTAAAATGATGAATGAAG